AATAACTTTTATTGTTTAATTGGTTACACATGATTTTCAATGATAGCGGCAGAGATAAGATAAAAAGGTGCTGGAACATTATATATATATATGTATGTATGTATGTATGTATGTATGGTCCTATGGAGCAGCTCTTAATTGGAAAATAGTATGCAGATTTGTTCAGTGCTACTGCAAATAGCATCATGCTAACATAAACCAACACTTGTACAAAATAACAAATTTTTGCAAGGACAATGGGATGAAGTATTGATCTATTATTGAAATTTGCCACTGCTTTTCTGCAGTACCATCTGGAACAGGTTAAACACCACTTTCAAGGTTACCAATAATATCTTCCATATACATAGAAACAGAACAAGTCAGAAGGGGTCTCCCAGGTCATCTAGTCTGACCCCCAGTTCCAGCCGGCTCTGCTCACAACATGCCCACCATGTGCATGTCTAGCCTATCCTTGAACAAAGTGAATGTCTAGCCTATCATTGAACAAAGGATATCTCACTGCCCTTTCTATATTTTTCAGTATGAAGAAATAGTCATATTTCCACTGATTCTGACACCATGTCTTTCAAAGATTATATAATTGCTTTCATTTGGTACCAATAATTCCTATGTTTCCTTTCTGGTTTGCATAAAGACACCCCATACATTGTGTGTGCAATTTTTCCTACGGCTCTTTGGTCTCTTTTAATGGCATTTCGGTCTGTAGGCTTATTATCAATTCAACGCAATCATAAATTCAAAGACTGCTTTCTTTTTCTTTTGATACTTCTTTTCACTTATTGTTAAATGACAGCATGGAAGCTTTCATATTGAAAAGGAAACATAGCACTCTTCAATAAATAAGAAGCAGTCTAAAAAATAAAGCAGGTGAACAAAGAACTCCACAGAGTTACAGTGAGTATAAATACCAGTCCCCCGAAGTATTGTTAGTAACACAGTAACACACCCGTTAGTGCAATTCTGTGCATTTTCCCATGGATTTTCATGGAGCCTCCTCCTAAATCACTTGGTATAGAACTGCAGCCTGAGGACAATTTTGAAATGGAGAAATGAGGGAAGCAGTCAAAAGAGGAGAGATGCCATAAAATGATTTTCAAGCATCATTACATTAGGTAAAAATACATCCCAACTGTGACAGAGAGGCAACATTTCGAGATATAATACATCATTTTCTGTCAGCTACTCATACAGGCGAGATGATACTCAGTGGAAAGGATCCTGCATTATAGATTTTGTTCCTTAATTGGCAGAAACTGTCATAAATTACAAGGGCAAATTTAGAAGTGTTTAGAGTTAAATAAAAGTTAAAAGTTCTGCATTTACCTTGGTGGCCATGAGATGTCATGAAAAGTCACCTGATGCTGATGTTGCTGCTTCTGAATGACACTTTATTATGTGATTTCTCACCTGCTATTGTGGACTGCTTTCCTTTTATGCCACTTTTCAGTAACTCTTTTTTTGTTATGACCAGTAAAGAAATCCATTATGCTAACTAAATGTCTTATGATGCTAAATCAGGCATTCCCAAGAACATAAAGAATCACTCCGTAATGCAAGGTTAACTCACAGTATACATCTCAGAGTTAACAACAACAACAACAGTGGCAGCAGCACATTAAGCAATGGTAAACATAAAGAGGAAAAAACTATATAAAGTTACTGTTCAGGAAACTTTCAGGCATACTGACTGACAAGCTTGTCATAAATGCACAAGTGTTATTTTCCCCTTTCCTGCTTCAGAGTGGGAGTACAAAACACAAGCACTTTGTAGTTTCCCATTCCCACAGAGTTTCACGAAAAATAAGTCTCACAAAAATAAGTTCTTGTTTGCATGATGCAGGAAGTGTCCCAGTGCACAAAGGAACCTAATTTGTGCTGGTATTTCACAATAGCAGCCTCTAGTGGTTCTTGCAAAAAAATGAATTCAAAATACTATAAAAACTCATAGCACTGAGAATAATGGGTCAGAATTATGCATAATCAAAAATGTGGGCAGAAGATCCACACTCCAGGGTGGAAGAACAGGTTTCTAAGGATAAGACTACATGTATACTGTGCTGCTTACACAAGAGCAATCAGTTTCCATGTTTCATGTGTGCTAGGTTTTTCTTTGTTCCTATTTGACAGCACTCATTCGATCCAGATTTTGAATTCAGGACATTTACTGAATGTAGCAGATTTTGTGCCAAATCCTGAAATAGTTCTCTATTTCACTGGCAGACTTCCATCAGATAATCAGCTAGGTACAACATTATTCTGTTCTGACCCTCCCTTGTTCTGCTTGTTCACCTTCATCCATTTCCCCCAAACACACTGATTCTGAAATTGCCAGAGAGAAAAGTGGTGGTTTTCTGCTTTAATGGAAAGAAATCTACTTAACTGCTAGTATAAATGTTCCAAGGGACTAGGAAATTTTTGGTGTGTTCATTAGATCTGCTTCAGATAATTGGGAGGTGGCTGTACCTCAGTGGCAGAACAAGTAGTTTGTATGTGGAAGGTCCCTCATTCCAGCCTCAGCATCTCTAAGAAAGAACCCTACTGAATCCTGGAGAACCACTGCCAGTCAATGCCAACCATACTGGGCTAGAAGAATCAGTGGTCTGATTCTGTATAGGGCAACTTTCTGTGCTTTTCCCAATGCTTCATAATGTCTTTATTCTATTTTAACTTCCTGGGGGGTTTTTTTTTTTGAAAAATTATATAGTAATAGCATTAATCTGGGGATAGATCTGGGCTACTTACTGAAGGCTTCTAAAAGGTCTATATGACACTCTTTAATGAGGGCAGCCTTTTAACATTGGCATACAATATTTCAGTATATCATACTATAAAGATTTTTTAAAATACAGGCTTTTTAAAGCACATGAGCCCAAATATTGTTAAGCAGGACTACACTCTTTGGCATGACAAAGTAAACATGGTCACATCATTCTGACAAAGATGAGATTTCATTTTTGCTAAAATGAAAAAGGTCTTGAAGATGCCCTATATAAAGCTATTTACAAAGCTACACTATAAGAGGCTTTAGGAGCACTGACTTCTGGCAAGATGCATTTACATGTACAGAAGTCAGTTTATACAATATGTCTTCCCAGTCCTCCTCCTAGAGACCCTCCCTGCATAGACTTCAATCTGCTTCAGATTTTCCCATGACTTCCCTGGACAGAAATGACTGCAGAGGAGGTATCCTTTTCCCAACAGTTCTACACAAAGCAGCACCACTGGATACACCCTAATGTCAGACTTGTGCTACATCACCTACAAAACAGAGCACAAGAACTGATGGCTATATTTAAGAGCGGCAGGGCTGAATGGATTGAAGCAGATGTATGACCCTGCTTCCTGAGAAGTAAGCTGGTGTCAACCATGATGGCACAATCCTCCATTTGGTTCAAATAGCCAATCTTGCAGGACATTGGGTCTCACAAACAACTTCCCAACAATGCCTTAATAGCAAGTGGTCCAAGAATCATCCCACACAGAAACCTTAATAACCAAACAAGGCTGAACTACACTGCCTGGGTTTGGACAACATGACAACCCAGACACACTTGCCTGGCGTCATCTTTGCATTCTTTTTGGTGCCAGGTGAAGACCTTTCTATTCCGCTGATATTTTAATTGTTAAACTGGTTTTTAATGCTATTTCAGTAGAAGGAGATATGTCTTTTATGCAATCTAGAGTTCTGGTGGGTGCACTTTTATTGCTGTTTTAATGTTTGAGATGTTTTTATTGTTTTATACTGTTTTTGCATGTTTTGTTGTTGTAGCCTGCCCAGGGGGCCATGTGGCTAGTGGGGCGAGTTAAACGTTTAATAAATCACAACAACAAAAACCCACATTCAAGTGTGGAGTATGGGTTTAGTATAGGCTGTTGTTGAAACATGGTTATTTCTGAAGAGTGGCATGTGTTTGAACCTAGTTAAGATAACACAACAGGGAAAATAGTTCAGAGACCAACAACAAACCATGGGCACTGCTCAAAGGCTGTTGAGATGAATGAGCTATGTGATTAACAACCCACAGCTCAGTAACCACCTACTTGAGTGCTGGATTCAAGGTGTTGCTGGGACTCCAACCACAGCTTCCTACCCTGCCCAATTGCAGTCATGTCACAACAACTGCACTTAATTCACATGCATTAAGTCTCCTGCACAGACAGAAGCAGCACAGTAAGTGGTATGCCCGTTCTTTTTCATTTGCTGATGCTGTGCCTTTCAAAACGAGGGAAAAGTACACAGCCTTTTTCAGCAGACAGAAATTATGTTTGCTGTTGTTTTGCTTGTTTTTAGTATGCTGGTATTTGCCTAAGAGCAGAAAAATCAACATGTGAGAAATATTTTGCTGGAATTCCTTTATAATTCATTATTACTTTCATAACTGAATAATGTGAAGGCCTTTTATATAGCATCATTTCAGATGGATTTATATTTCACACCTATAAAATTACTAGAATGGTCTTAAAATTCCTTATGAAATATTCCTATCAAATATGCATACGATTCTAAGTACTCACTGAACAAGTTGCCACAAATTCTTTAGAGTTTGTGTCCATGCATATGTGAGGGAGATTTTGCTCCTGTCCCAGTAACCGAGTGGTTGAGCCTGCTGAATTCCAGTATCCCCTCTTCAAATCAGTTTTTTATTTTGTCATAATGGATAGGACAAAGGCATTCAGCAACACCGTGCTGTTTCTACAGTGGGAATCTTTCTTTCAGCCACAGCCCTCTGCCCGCAAAAGTTAAGCATAACTGCAGTGCTTTCTTACAGCTGTAAGGGAAGGCAACGAGAGAACTCCGGAACACAAAATTCCTCTTTGTAAGAGCTCCAAAAGTCTACTGATCCCTAAAAGCAGTGAGAAATGAATCGCTGCTTTACATACACACAATTCTTTTTAAAAATGTAACTTGTTTACAGCTTTCTGAACTGTCCCAATCTGGTAGTAAACATTATCATTACTTTGATAAAGATTCTTATTTTGTTGCACACAATTCTCACCTGGGAATATTAGCAAGGTACGTCAGAACGTTCTGAAACTCATGGTCTGGAATTTCACTGAATGTTGAATATTCTGGAAAAGTAATGACAGGGCAGCCATCTTTTCCTCGCCCACCTAAGAAGAAAGGGCACATTTTACTCACCACTCATTACCTGGAATGAAAGTAATTATTAAAATATAAAGATGTGATGGTTTGGAAAAAGGAGATGGGAAAAAAGAGAAAATTCTATTAAAAATTCCCATGCCCCTCCCTCAATTTCCCAAAAACGTCTTCAAAAAAATGGGAAAGAAAATTACAAAAAGGGCTCTCCCATAGTCACATTTTATTACCATCTCTTTCAAAACATTATTATGAAAATAGACTTAATCCAAGGGGCTCATAGAGGATTAACAGAATCTTCCATACAAAATTAAGGCAGACATGCAGCTGTATTTCTGCTCTCTTACTGCATTCTGTTATGTTCAGCATCACTCTTCAGAGACTAGCAGTGCTCCTGAAGTTGCTGAAGTTGCCATCTGAAGTTGGAGTTGGGGAGATATTTCCTGTTTCTGATGTCTAATGTCTCTTCAATGCCAGGCAAATACTTTTATTTTTCCAGCCTATTAACTATCGAGGTGGCTTTTAAATAAATTCCAGCTTTTATGTTTGATTGGTTTGATCTTAAATTGGAATTTAATACTTCACTGTACTTCATGTTACTATTTTTTTATGATTAACTTCTATGACCTGTCTGGTGAACTTAGTACATTGGGCTGAATAAAACATTTTAATTTTAGTGTGTGAGCTGCCTCTTCTGCATTTTATCAGGTGGTCTATATTTAGTTTGGCTATCAAAGTATATAAGCCATTATAATCCAAGAATCCATTCCAAATGCTCCAAAGATTCTAGGTATACAGAAACATATGCACACAATTACATATAATACTTAAAAATGAATTGCCATACTTAGCCAGTGCTGAATAGCCAATACTCTGCCAGGAGATACCTGGCAGAGCAGGTGGAGGGACATGGGCAAATTTTGCCTCTCTGCCCTCTTTGTTGTTGTTTTCTCTAGGCCAGGGCCTAAGATCTTCTGGAGGGGCCATGCCGCTGGGCCTGGAGAGGCAGGTCCTGCCCTCTCCCACCAGAGCGGCCCCTTTATTGCCTTCCCAAAGTTGCCTTTGCAACCCTGGGAAACAGCAACTACAGTTCTTTCTGTGGCAGCAGTGACTGGGAAGGATCAGAATTTAGAGTCCACCTCCCAAAGTATAGCACTGTTTTCAGTCTTGAAAGGGGTTAAGGTTAGGGTAAAAATCTGATACTCCCACAGAATCCATAAGATTGCTTTCTCAGGGACTTCAAGAACGTTGTTGTTTGGGGTATTTATGATTTTTTATATTGTTGCAATTATTGAATTTTGTAAGCTGTCCAGTGATGCATAGTGATTGGATGGGTTAGAAATATCACAAACAAACAAACAAACAAACAAACATGGGTTCTATCATGAGAATGCCTTGCTGCTAGTTCTCTGCAAAAGATTCTGAAGAGTCTTAGTGAGTTATTTGAACTGGCAGGCAACTATATGGGTGTGGGAGGATAGCCCCTGAAGGTAAACAGGTTCACAACAAACTGAAACCTGTGGAACCTGCTACAATAGGATGTAGGAATAAGTAATGCTCCGGCTGTGTATAAAAGCATTGGATCAAGGATGCAAAAAACAACCCCCCCCCCCGCCAAGCCACTAAAAATTAGCCTGCTAAATAAGTGCCCTGGGCAAAATTCCCAAGATGGGCAACAGCAAAGCTGAACTGTACAACAGAGATAATTAAACACAAATATCTACATCTATGAACCTCTTCTTCTATCTTTTTTTCAGCTATTTCAATCAGTTCTACCTTCCAAACTGACCATCAGCATTCTCTGCCTATTGAGCAAGCTCACATCTTACTGTACTGCTTTTAGGTGTTTCTCTAAAGATTTTGCATAAATGACAAGTTTCTGTCAATGGCAAATTTCTCTGATTCTGTAAATACTTCTCGCTGGTGTTCCTTTGCCTGCATATGTGCAAAGCCTTGCAAACTTTAAAGTGTATTGAATAAAGACGATAATGATAGTGAACGATTCTGAACATATGCTAACAAAGGCAAGGAAGGGACAGATTTCATGACGCAACTGTTGAGAAGAGAATTCACTATACTTCCTACCAAGATGGTACCTAGGAAAGCCTGTCTGGCTTCTTAATTCTACAAAAATATATGCACTCCTGATTTATTTAATTTCAAGAAATATATGTAAATGAACATTTGTGGCTGATTATCAAGGAGGTAAATAAAACAGTAGTTTTAAGTTATCCCTCAGACCTCAGAGTAAACAACAGGCATAAGCAATTAATCCATTAATGATTTGTAATCCCAGTTATGGTGCTGCATTTAACTGAATCACTAATCCGATCCGTTCTGGGCCTTTCTTCTGAACAGCTTGCTTGCTCCTAGCAGAACATTTAAAAGTTTGCTACAGAGATCTAATGGAAGAATATTAAATACGGTTCTCACATGATAAGGGCATGAGTTCCAGAAGTTGGGTGTTAACATGCCTTTTTAGTACAGAAGGTAAAAGTCAAGTTGAAAAGGAGCAGTGAATAGAATTAATGGGGGGAATACAACTTCTTCTTTAACCATTGCTTCATTATTGTACAATAATATCTACTCACCACAAGATCAAAAGAGTTAACTATAAACCCAACAAAAAAGAATGAGAAAGGGCTACCTTCATGCCCCACTGAATTGTGGATGTTAATGAATGTTGAGTGTGCTTACAGATGTCCTGAAGGTAGATTAAAGAATCCTGAATAGAATTACACTGTTTAAGAGGGTATCCATCTTTGCTCGGATGGAAAGGAAAAAAAAATCTTATTGTTACACCTAGGTTTTTTTCTGTCTTCCTGTCTTGATAAATACGGAGAACTTTACCTCCTGAACTAGGTAGCCAAAGACTAGAATGAATGTGTTATAACCTCAAAGATCCAATGCACATATCACATTTTATATGCCAGAAAGCTGAAAGGGCTGTTCCTAGAATAACTTTGTTTTATCTGCTGTAAGGTTCGCTTGCCATCACTGATCACCTTACTTTGTTTGAATGAACATTCAATTTGCACAGTATTCATTTAAGTTCAAGATTACTATATGTAAGCCAACATATACAAAATAAACCAAGAAAAGACATATATCTTTAGATTCTTACATACACGATGCTGATAACTGAAACTGTCAACATGCTTATTTTAACGGAGTCCAAAAGGAACATTCATGACCTCACCTGACAGATAGGCAAACTTCTTTCTCAGCTGGTCCTCAATATCTTCAGCACAGAGGGGAACAATATCTTGATGCATGATTTCATCTGAAACAAAACCAGACCCCCCAGAAAAAGACACAATTCCTTAGTCCATTCCTGACTACATTGAATAGAAGTTTTAAAGTGATTTCATGCAATGCTAAATTCAATGTTATATCAGCAGATACACTTTCAGTTAGAAGATGACTTAGAAATACACTTTCAGCAGCAGCACTACTGCATCACATGTTTGCAATATGACAAGTCTATGGACACCAGGGGAGGAACAAAAATAAAAGGAAAGTCCATGTTTACTAAACTCCTCATGTGATAACAATAAAAAAAGCAGCAGTGTTGGAATAAAGCAGACATTTTCATTTTCATTTCCTTGTATCTGAGAAAGAAAAAAACTTTGCATGGTAAGTACCAGTCACTCCCTATTTAGTCATGCAATGCATACAGATGGTATATTAATGCAACTTCAGAATGTAGGTGCAAGTTCATGTTCTGTCAAGAAAATAACCAGCAGTCAGTGACATGTTTTCCACACTGTGCTCGTCTTCCGCTTGCAGGGATGATGGCTTTATACGTATGGAAGCTCCTACTTATGGTGGCAGAACATGGTAAATATGTCATCTCATTTTGTTCCATGTTCCCTCTTGAACATGTTCTAGCTGAAGACAGCCATCCCTTTTTTCAAAGATGAATAATTAATAATAATAAATAAATAAATAAATAATAAAATAATTAACTGAAGGGTAGTACATTCAATTCCATTTGCATTTCGAGCTACTGCTTAAATGTATGAAAACCCCATATATTGGACAAATTATATGACCGCATGTTACAGTCAAGACACACAGAGGAAGAAGCAAGACTGAATCCATGTGTCCTATCCCTGCTTCCATGCAATTAGCACAGCATGTGCAAGATCATATTCCTAAACAGCTGGCATGTGCAAAGAGACTTTCTATCACAAGTTATGGTGAATGTAAACGGCAGATGAGAAGGGCAAACAGCTGGGAACCCATCCCCCCCCCATATGTATGCCCTAAAACCATGTATCTGCCATGAGCTCCATTCATCTGTGATCTGCAGCATGTTTATGAGGAAGCTCTATGTCTTGCTTGGGCAGTATCTACACCATTTGCGAAAAGAGTTGCCGTTCAGCTTTCTCCAACCTGGTGCCCTACAGATGATTTGGATTTCAACTCCCAACAGCCCCAACCAGTACGGTCAATACTGCAGGAATGCTGAGAGTTGTAATCAACACATCCAGAGTGCAGGTGAAAGAAATAACACCCATTAGTCAGTTTGACTAGCGGATACATTCACAGCAAACATGTACTACTGAAACTGCACACTGGGAGTACTAACAGCAGCTGTATTATTTTAAGGCAATTTCAGGGGGGTGTTTAAAACTGAAGCATGAGCTAGAACGAGCCGATTATCCCATTCTCACCAGGTTTACTAGTGCTGTACCATGGACAGCACCAAATCCTGCAAGGATATCATTTTCATGCAGTAAACAATGCCTGCTGCCACATCTATCACCGCAGGTTCTTGCCACCATCCTGGCCCACCTATTAGACCTGCCTGTGCTTGTCAATGCAGCAGAACTGATGTGTAATCTCTTCGTATCTGACAGCATACGGACAGGTATTAGTGATTTCTTCATGGAGATGGACTTGGTTTTACATGCTTTGTTTTGCATGCAGAAGGTCCAGGGTTCAGTCCCTGCCCTTTCCTGACAGAAACATGAGAAAATAAATAAATACATAAAAATTCCTGAAACCTTGAAGAGCCATGGCTTCCACATATTGTATCCAACACTGACATAGGTGGGTCAGTGACATGAGTAATATGAGTCAGCATAAAGCAGCTTCCTACATTCTAAGCCTTGAGTAAAACACCTTTTGAATAAATGCAATTTTAATAAATATGCAGTAACAAGCTTTTGCTTTAGAAGTTCCACCAATGTATCTCCAAACTATAAACAGGTATCAGTCAGGATGAGAAGACGGAACATGTAAAATACTTCTTCAGATCCATTCACTGCACTCAGATACAATCACTGACATTTGAGGTGTGACCACAAATGACTTGAAAATGAGCAGAACTGAAAGAGTTACCTTGCTGCTTCCTGAGTTAGCGGGATGCCACTAAAGCATAAATTCACCTTTTCAAATTCAATGTATGCCATTCTCCAGTGATATTTTGTTAACTGTTTCTAAATTTAAGATACTTCCCAGAAAACATTTCACAGGGAGATCCACCAAAGACTGAAATATTTAGAGGATAACCAATATTCCTGTTGGAATCAACCATGGTATGCAAATGTATACTTAGTGAAATTACTACTAAGAATGAGTAATAAAATTAACCAATAGGTTGAAATTATTTTTTTTAGGTTGAAATTTTATTAACCAATAGGGTCTATTATTGCAAATTCTTTACTGTACTGGGAAATAATCATAGTCTGAAATGATTAGTCTGAAATGACAACAAATTTACAGTAGCTAGGATGGCATAGGGCAGCCATCCAGCCAATGGATGGCCGAACTGCTGAATCTACAGGCTGATCGCCTCCAAGTGGGAGAAAGGCATTGAGAAGACAAATCCAGATCTCCAGATGTTTTGACCTACAACATCCATCAGCAAGATCAATGCTGAACAAGCACAGGAACTATAGCCCGAAAAGCCTAGGCCAGGGGTTGGCAACCCGTGGCTCCGGAGCCGCATGTGGGCTCTTGAACCCATCTGCTGCGGCTCCATCACTCAAAACACGCGCTGGCACAGCCGCTGATCTGCTCAAAGCTCCACTCAGGAACACAGAGCTAGCTAGCTAAGTAAATCACGACATTCCTCTGCTAAACAAGCTTCCTGCAGGCTCTCATGTTACACCAAAAGCTGCTGAAAAGATTCTCTTTGTCCCAATGTAATCTCCTTCATCTGAATGTTAAAAGCTCAGCTTGGGACCTGTCACAATTCACAGCACTTGACTGTTTATCTGCTAATCATTCACTAAACACACCTATATCTCTGGCACTATTACATTAAGTGGTTCAAGATGGAAGAACATACATATGCTAAAGGAGAATATGAAACATTAGACTGTAATAGTCTAGTGCAGGGGTCAGCAACCCGTGGCTCCGGAGCAGCATGTGGCTCTCTCACCCCTCCGCTGCGGCTCCGTCGCTCAAAATATGTGCCATGACCACCAATGTGCGACAGCCACCAGCACGCGATTTACTGAGCTCCCCCACATCCCCGTAGGCCAACCATGGATAAATTGAAGAAAAGTTTCTGAAGAAAACCAAACGTTTAATGATACATGGGTAGATTCATTTGCTTTTACTGCTGATGAGCTTATGGGGTTTGCTGTTTAATGCAAGCATCCCTTTAGCACTGACTTTGACTCTTCAGGAAGCTGTTCTCCTATTCAAAATATACGAAAGGAGTCCTACTAGTTTATATTGTAAGATTAAAAATAACAGTTTTTACTGACTGAACAAGAGCTGCAGCTAAATCATAATGAAGATATACATAGCATTAAGGTAAAAGACGATATATGCAGTGCTATCTTCATTTTAGATGTCAAAAGGGTTTTGCGGCTCCTGGTGTTTTCCTTTGTGTGGAAAATGGGTCCAAATGGCTCTTTGAGTGTTAAAGGTTGCCGACCCCTGGGCTAGGCAGTCAGAAGTTGTCCAACTTCTGATTTAGGAGATATGGAGCCTCTTTCTGCTTGAGGAGCATATCTCAGTGGCACTGGGGTCAAAGGCAAAAGGAGCAGGTCTGCATACCCAGATACCAGCATATTGTGGCTTAAATCTCTTACTTCCAGTAAGTAGCTCTTAGGGGGCGCATCTGAACCATTCAGAACAGGAAACAGAAAATGTGCAAAAACTGGGAAAGCACCAAATGACTGAAGGAGGTGGGCAGATCTGGGGAACCACTGCCTGATGCTCCAGGGGAGCTGTTCCTGGCCCTTAAAGGAATCCCTAGTTTAAAGAAGATATCATAACCACCTGCAACTTGTTGGAAAGTTGTGGTTTTCAAAATGATGGGAATTTTAAATGTTGACATTCTTACTGAAATAAATATGGACATTCAAAAGAAAATGTCTGAGTTAGAGATGCCCTATTTTTATCACATAAGATATGAAACTGAATATTGTGTCTGGGATGTGAAGTGCTACTCACAAAATACAAGTGAATGCATTGTAGTAGCCTACAACAGATATCCTTCTTTCTTTCTTAAAAGTCCCCTATAATATGACTTAAAAGCATTCTATTCATCATCTCCAAGTGGGGACTGAAGCCCTGAGGCAAATCTTTAATTTTGCATCCCTTTGGGTCTTTATCCTTTCCTCTACCAATAGCATGTCCAGTTCTGTAAGTAAGAAGATTGGAATTGTAAAAAGATTAGACTGTAGGAACTTTTATATGGAAGATGACTGAATGCCCTGTTATTGTACTGAAGAAGCAGCTGTCAACTGGAACTTCTTTACTTGGAAGGTTACTTCAACAAGATCCTCTTAATAGAAAAGGAAACATTCAGAGAAAGTCATTTAGAAAGAACGAAAAAAGAAGTAAATGCACTCTGAATACTCTAAATGCTTTATCAGCAGTACATGGAAAACCAAGAAGAAAGTGGGGTGGGGTGGGGGGAGTACTACGAGCAACAAGATGGCGTGTCTCCATTTGTCTTTGCAACCTTAGTTAATTTGTAACAGGCTGGATTGTTCCACAGTTAAAGCATTACTCTAATTGATTTTCCCTTGATTTTTCTTTTCTTTTCTTTTTTTTGGTAGTACCTTTTCAAAAAATTGGACCTGAAAACAATAGGCATGGTTTCTACTGAACAGTTGACCAAATGCTTGAAATCAACAGGATTTAATTTGTAATGCAGGGTGCAATGCAGATGACTCAAAATGTTATGTGTCCAGTTCAGTGTTTCAATTTGAAAAATCACAAAAGATTGCTTTCAAGGTTAAACAGATGGGTGGGAAGGGCAAAAAAGAGCCAAAAAAGGAGCGTGAATTGCAATGAAGTAACTTAATCAAG